ATTGCGTAGGTCGTATATCTCTTTGCTATAAAACTTGTTCTCTGGTATGACGAAGAGAAAAATTAAATTCTCTACTCTACGAGATATTTTCCAAGTCATTTAATATCTTTAAACCATCTTTCCTTTTGAATAATCGAACCCAAATTTTTCTGTCATCATTTTTCTCTAATTTTCCGGCACCTGGAAAACCTCTACTCTACCAGATATTATTTTCCATTTTTAAACCACCTTTCTCCTCGAATAATCACATCGTAGAACCCAAATTTTCTTTTATAATTTTTCTCTAATTTTCCTGTACCTGAAAAATTTCTACTCTGCGAGATATTATTTTCCATTTTTAAACCACCTTTCTCCTCGTATAATCACATCGTAGAACCCAAATTTTCTTTTATAATTTTTCTCTAATTTTCCTGTACCTGGGAAATCTCTACTCTACGAAATTTTATTTTCCATTTTTAAACCATTTTCCTCCTTGGATAATCACATTATCGAACTTAAATTTTCTTCTATAATTTTACTATAATTTTCCTATACTTTAAACCCTCTATTCTACGAGATATTATTTTCCAAGATATTATTTCCCATTTTTAAACCACCTTTCTCCTCGAATAATCATATCGTCGAACCTAAATTTTCTTTTATTATTTTTGCTCTAATTTTCCTGTGCCAGAAAAATTTCTACTCTGCGAGATATTATTTTCCATTTTTAAACCACCTTCCTCCTTGGATAATTACATTATCGAACTCAAATTTTCTTCTATAATTTTTCTCCAATTTTCCTGTACCTGGAAAATCTCTACTTCACAAGATATTATTTTCTATTTTTAAACCACCTTGCTCCATGAATAATCACATTCTCGAACTCAAATTTTCTTCTATAATTTTTCTATAATTTTCCTGCACCTTAAAACCTCTATTCTACAATATATTATTTTTAAAGATATTATTTTCCATTTCTAAACCACCTTTCTCCTCGAATAATCACATTGTCGAATCCATATTTTCTGCTATAATTTTTCTATAATTTTCCTGCACCTGGAAAACCTCTACTCTACCAGATATTATTTTCCATTTTTAAACCATCTTCCTCCTCGAACAATCTCATCATCGAACCCAAATTTTTTTTCTAATTTTCTCTAATTTTCCTGTAATTATCCCATACTCGAGTTTGTTGAACAAGCGAAATTTTTCCGCTGAACCGTTTTCGATTTTCGAGCTTGCATGTTTATTCTAGGAGAACGCAGAACGCTCCGCATACTAATCGCGCAGGAGAAACATTCGAAACGCCTTCAGCTTCTTTTCTTTCTGGTCACCTTGCGTGCCCTGCACTCCGCTCACGGACGAAACGCGCCGCCACAAACCGGTCGCGACGCATTCGGTTTCATAAGGCCTATTAACCGATTGCCTTCAGTCAATGACTCTACCTGGACTGTGGTCGATACGACTCGAGGAATCCCTCGCGAAACCTATCGATACCCCATAAATCTCTCGGCTATAGCGGGGATGGATTAGTCTAGAATCTCACAAATTCGTGGCTTGTGCCGCCGCGTGGCATTTTTCTCCTGTTTTTCCTGGAAAGTTGGAGGAGTAACGCGGCAGAGATTCCTTGGCAACGAGGTACACGCAGGAGAACCTGTCGAAAAGCATTCCATTAGGTGAACCTAATGAATTCGAGTCACCATGAAGAGTTTCCGCAGAATGTACAGTTACCGGCAAAAGTTGAGAAACGTAGTAATCATCTGCGAATTGAATTTTTCTATATCCATACTACATACATAGAAATTAACCTTTTGCTACTCGAGAGGTGACTCTCAGTCATCATTTAATCAGATTCTAAAGATCGACGTTAATTGATATACCAAATTTAAAATTACCTAACGATGAGTGCAATGTCGAACAAAAATAATTCTATGTCTTAATTTCCATATGATTTCTCATTTACCATTTTAAAAATATCGTCAACTCTATAACAGAAAGTCTTGGAATTACTATTTTTCTGTAACGAAAAAGTCGTCGAGTGCAAAGGGTTAATTATACGAAAGGAAACGCGAAATATATATTTAAATTGAATCGTAGACATTTTCCATTACCATAGTGATAAATCGATATATGTTACACGATCCGCTGAGAATGATCAAAAAATATTTACTAAAAGTGTTTATATCGTACACATTGCATTATGAATGAAATTATTGCATATATTGTATTATTAATAAAATTATAGCGAGTAGAGGAATGTTAATTTAGATATCAGACATCTTCACTTATTAAAATCCTTATGGAATCGAGATCTAATTAGAAACTCGATTATACAAAAATTTGAGATCTAAAAATTATTCTACTTCTTTCTCGTACTTGTCATAAATTGTGCAATATCGGATAGCAACAACGAAACGAATTCTCGGGAATATTACATATTCAAGCCCGAAACGAACGTGTCTGTGCCTTAACCCACTCGTTCAGGCGCAATCAGCGATCGTTACGAAACGGCTAATACGCCTTGTCAACGTGGGATCAACGATCGAGGCGTGATCGAGCGATCGCAATTGTCTAATATCTATAAATAACGGGAACGAAATCGGCAATTGCGAAACCGGAGGCGTAACGCTCTGAAAACGAATCGCTGAAGCGCGACACAAATAAACTGCAGAATTGTAAATTCTCAATTCAAATAAATATGAATTATAAATATCTCGCGGCTACATCGTTACACGACCGGTAATGGCCGAGCTTGCCGGCAACGTGGACAATCTTCTTCGCGATAATGATCGACGTCGCGGTGCCAGAACGTTCTCCACGGATCGTGATTACCGATTCGACGCACTCCGTATCGCTGTTTCGCCTTTCTTTTCCCTCTTCCCATCTCGTCTTTTCTTTTTTAGTAACACGAGTGAAACGTTGGACGCGTTATCACGCCGAATCGCGAGAGGTGGCCCGGGAATTGGTATTCCGATCGCGTAACGGCCACGAGAAATCGGATCGACGGACGTAAGAAATCGAACGACGTGCCGGAAGCGAGCGAAAGCTGAAAAATCGAGAAGTGGCCGTGTGAAAAAATAGGAAACCACAGGCATTCGAACTGATCCGAGCGCGAGCGTAACAAGAGTTACGTCCGCGATCGGTAAACGGTATCGGTAGCATTTAAATAATATTTCACCCACCGATAATTACGTAATTACGCGTATTTCGCCCGCTTCCTGCACGTGGCGGCTGTAAATGGCCCGATCGTTTGCCTCGAGAGGCACGTAACCGATCCATGCTTCCACTCCCGATTGTAAATCTTCTTCAACGTAGAGATCGGTCGCGGGGCAGGAAAACAAACACCGATTCGAGTAAGCAAACAAAATCTACATTTTACTATCGAAATTGTACGAACCATCGAGGTCTGTCACTACCGATATAAAAATCGGCACTGTTTACCCGATTTTATTTCAACAGTAATCGATCAGCGCTCGATAACTCAGATGTACTTCGGAAACGAGCAATTCGTCTGTCCGTCTGTCGTGCAATTCAATCGTCCATTAAACTATCGTAGCGTTTTGCCGGTACAAAAGTAACCCGGGATCTTAATCATCGATCATAAAGTGCTCCGAAGTCCTTCGGGGCGAATTAACGATTAGAAATCAAATCGATTACACGCTTCTTTCGTCCGGGACGCCTAATCCACTTATTCCTACTCGGTCGTGATCACGATCCCGTGCTCTTCTCCGACAATTAATCTCGGTAATCGACGTGTACCGTCATTACCGGTGAAAGTGCGTTCGTCACGCGAATATATACAGCAATATACGTGAATATACAGTGGAAAGTCCTTAAGCTCTAACTCAAATTTCACCGTTGCAGCTAAATGCTCGCTAATCTCCCGAGGAAGCGATTGATAACGCCCCCAGGTGGCGCAGCTACGCGTCCGCACCGCGATTAAGATAAGAGGTCCCGATCGGAATAAAGATCGTGGATTACTTTCTCGACTGCGTCTACCGCGGATTCTCCTTTCACTTTCCTCGCCAGTCGATGCAACCACTGAAACAGTTTCGCGCGTTCCCGATGCGCTCTCCGCTCCATCGGATTATATCGCACCCGGTCCCGATCGTTCCCACTGGATTCGAATAGCCTAGATTGGTCCCTGGGATCCATCTCGAATTCGTCACGAAGGAAACGTGACGGCAGAACGGACGAGGTGTTATGTCATCCGCCTCTCGCGAAGATCCTGTCTAGCTTGAGGAATAGGATCGGGAACAGAGCGAAGTAATAGGGCCTTTCGAGGTAATAGGACCTACCGGAGCAATAGGGCCCTTCGAGGTAATAGGACCCTCCGAGGCAATAGGGCCCGTGCAACGTAACTATGGATTACGCCAGAACAGAGTATTCCAACGAACTGTAATTGTTGTTGCGTCGCGATGCGTTCCTTTATGCGTGCGTTGTGAAACAACGCCATAAACGCGGGCTCGCGAGAACGCTGTTTATCGGTAGTCGGCTGCCATGAATGGCCATCGTCAAACATAATAGCGTGTTTTAACCAGGTACATTCGAGGATTTCAGAGTAATAATAAGCGAGTATTTAGTCCATTTCGTCAGTGTTATTGAGTTACGTTACCGACTTATCGGATATTCGTCATTATCGTGGATGTCAGTCTCCGATGGGTCTCTGTCAATCTGGACTTCGATCCAGACTGGATGTGGTTAATTTTGATGCACGAAATGTACCCGTCTGTGTCCTAATTTAATCTGACAGAGATAGGACTTGGACCACGAAGGGATCTTTTTAACGAGACCAGCTCGCTCGACTATGAATAACTCTAACAAGGCAGAAGAGAATAAATCTCGATCTTTTCATTCCTAACCCCCCATACCCTATTCGTTCAACGACAAATGGAAAAGGGGAAACTAAAGAAGGAAGGCTAATAGAGAAAAGGGAAAATCCGACAGAACATTCTGTCACTCGCGAAGACCCTAATACCCGAGTCCTACCACCTCCGCGCGAAACGTCAGCTCTACCCTACCTGTACATCCTGCCTCCACGTGCTCCACGTTGCTCTCCGATCTTCGGTAAACAGAAACCAGGGGTGTTCGAAGACGGTTGTTGAGTAGCGAAGAACGCGTACAACACTTCCGACACACTTGTTCGTATCACGTCTCTCTCAAATCCCCACGAGTATGGAGTATGGAGCAAGAAATCCTCGGCGCAAAATTAACGGAAGGGACGAAGAGATAACGATGAGAGACGAAGGAGGGGCTGACGTCGGATCAATTCGACTGGTCACCACTGTTCCAGGCCGAGCGTCG